CCTTTACAATTAAAAATGCTGAGCATGTCCTGATTTTGTAGCCTTTTGCAGTAAAGGGAAAGCTGTGCATAAAGTAAATTTTTAAAGTTTCTTCCAAGCCTCTCATTAATCTCTTCTTGAGCCTTCTGCCTTTGAAACAACTGATGAGGGACTCTGCTGTTAAAATATTAAAAATACATAAACAAATGTTCAGTTTAATGGATTTTGTTTTATGGGTGTTCCTAACAAAATTGCCCAAAATTTATAGTAGATTCTGTACTGTGGAATCAATTTGCATTGTTCTGATTCCTTACCTGAGGGAAGTGCTGAAAAGAAGGAAGTGGCTTTGAGCCACAATACGCCTTAACAGAGACAAAAAGGTGGCAGTATCAGTGGCAGTTATTGCTTGTCTCAGTGTAAATAAAGCAACTAGTGTTGAAAATCACACACAAATAAATGAAGATCTTTTTCCTAGAAAATGTGCAATTTGTTTGAGTGAGGGCCCCATGTACACTGGCAGTTAGAAATGAAAATTTGGGATTCTTGATGGAGTTGGCTGGCAGGGACTGGTGCACCATTTAGCTAAGATCACCTGGGTCTAGATGTATATGACTAAAATAGTGGCAGGAGCCAACATTTCTGCACATTGCCTTGTAAAGCTGCTGTATGGGTCTTAGCATTGGGGTTTGTTAAGGCCTGACAGCCTTCAAAGCTCATTGGGGATTGATGCATTCAGATGCATCATCAGATGAAAGTTGTACAGCCTCTTCCAATAATTAGCTTATCCTTTTATTCTCTTTGTATTTTGGTGTTGCCACCATTGCTTAAAAGCCCCTGGTTCCCATTGATCAGTTTATCTGGAGGTTTGCCATTGTTGCAGTAGCATGTCATGCTTTCTTTCCTTGTGAAACTACTGCTGGGCCATCGGGAGGTAAGAACTATTGGGATGGAGACTGCTGGTTGGTCTTACTATGTGTTTTCCTGAAGAGTGTTAGTGTGCCACCTCTTTTGCTGACTGGGCAATTCAACAGGCATAGTGAAACTCAAAGATAAGATATTTCCCAGAAATGGGAATGGTACGTGCCCTGCTTTCCTCCCTTCAGCTTTTAAGAGATCAAGCTGTGGAATGGGTTAAAAGTGGGAAGTTACTAGCCTCAGGAGGTAGTTGCATTGGAGATGCCCCAGTAGCTTTGCAGTTTGATGTGGCAGAATGTGTGTTAACTTTCCACTCATTTTTCAACAACATTTTATGTTTATACTTGAATTTTTTTCTAGTGAGAGCAAACTTTTCAGTTGAAGTCACTCTTAGCAACAAGATGCTTTGAAGAAGCTTGCAAAATAAACAGAGGAAAATAATGGCTCTACTTAGTGTGAGTTACCTTTTCCTTTTCTTTGCTTGTCTTCTAGAAACAAGAGTGCCTTAAAAGATACTGTTTTCTGCATTGGTGGTCTTTTGGCAAAAGCTTAAGCTGTTCTGGGTTTGTGGAGCAACTGAAATGATGTTGACCCAGTTATTTTTCTCCTGATGGTTATGTTTATATTTTTCTTGAGAAGAAAAACTTTCTATCATATTAAAAGCAAACAACAAAATAAGATAATTTTCCCAAACTTGGAGTGTAAAAGAATCACCTTTTTCTTCTGAAAGTAATTGGAACATGGCATTTCTGTCTGTCACTCAACCTTTGAATGCTGAAAAAAGGCATAAGGTGTCCATGCCACTGCTGAAATACACAGAGCACATTTTCATAAGTAAACACTAGATTTGCCAAACAGTCTGAAGAGCAGATCTTTTGTGCACTGATGTTTTCCTTGATTCTTCTGCTGTGCTCAGAGCTGGGCAGCAGTCTTCCCAGATTCAGCCAGGGAAGAGCCAGGAGTCTCTGACTTCCTCCACCTCATCTGCTCCAGCTAGCTGCTTGGCTTCTTGCATTATATCCTGCTGCTGAAGGCTAATATATTTCTCAGTCTCTCTTGTATGGCTGTAATTTTATGAGGGCAACAAAGGTTTGTAAATGGAGGATGTGAGTCTGAGGTGGAGAAAATCTTTGAGTATGATCTGCAGGAGGTTGGAGCATGGTCAGTTCTTATGGATTGAGAGACTGCAGATCTCTAGCTGTGCAAATTGTGGATTGGAGGACACACAGAAAAAACTTCACTAACTAAAATAAACTTGGTATCCTACAATCCAGTTCTGTAGCTTGTGAGTACTAGCTGCTTATGAATTCCTAGCATATTTTACTACAGCTACATACAGAGTAAGGAATTCTATTAGTTTTTAGCAACAGAAGGATAGGGAGGACAGTACTGGTGTCTCATGTCTGGAAGGTAGTATCTGTCAGTGGAAGTGGCATTTTTTCCTGTGCATTTTCCATGCCACAGTGCAGACTGGCCTGTTTGTTCCCTGTAAGTGCTAGTCCAGCAGCATTCAGTGTTTGTTCTGATCTGACATGCAGTTTTGGCTTCCAGAGTTTAGAATTGAAGAAAGTACAGTTTTCTGATAGAAGGGCATAATGTCCTGTAATGTTTTATAACAATTTATATCTTTCATATAGAGGAAATTCTGTAGTGCAGGATTTAATTTTCAGATCTTTGTAACTATACAGGCTTGTTGCTTACTACAAAGAGATCTCTCTCTGCTGTTGAGGTAACATATATAGAGAAAAGAGAATCAGTTGTGGGGATGCACTTTTGAGACTGAGCTTTTTCAAGTCAAGGATTTGCCTATAGAATGGAGAGATAAATCTGCGTGTGTGTTTGTGTATTTAAAAAAAAAAACCTGTTTTTTTCTAGGCTTTCATATTCTAGTGTTTCTAGAGGTGTGTCATTATTTGAATTGATGCTTATGCCTAATGCCAAAACAGCATTTAGAATTGCAAAATTTACAGAATCACAGAATCAATTAGGTTGGAAAAGACTTCTGAGATTGAGTCCAACCTATGACCACACCACCTTGTCAATCAGATCATGGCCTTATCCAGTCTTTCCTTAAACACCTCCAGGGACAGTGACTTCATCACCTAATTGTCTCCAAGCACCTAACTGAAAGATTGAGCTCTTTGAGTCTCTCATTACGCTTGAAACTGAAACAAATTTAAAAGGTTAAGGTCACAGCAAACTTAATGAGATGGAGGTTTTAGTTCCATTTTAAAATGCTGGCTCTTGCTTGTAGGATTATGTCTTGTTCTTTTCAAGAAGATCAAGTATGCATATGGATGGTGTGCTCTCACTAAGTTTATCAGAAAATAAAATGTGCAAAACCTAATGTAGTTTTGAAATGTTGAAACAAGAATGAAAATAAAAGGGGAAAGGGAATCTCATAGTTTTTCTGAATGAGCAGGTTGCAGCAGTGTGGGCGGGCTGTGGTGGATCTGCTGACTGGACAAGGGCTATGTGGGAGAGCTCCCAGATGCTGTGCTTACATGTGCTCTGATTCGGTTTGTTCCTTCTCATTGGTTTATTCACACCATCGTTTTAGCAGTGGGAGGGCTTTGTCTGAATACGGTTAGCTTGTGGCTGTACACAGAGCAGGAGACACTGATAACAAGCAACAGATGGCAAGCAGATTTCAGTAGGAAGTCCAGTCTCATTTTTTTCAGTGCTCAAGGTAAGGAGGCTACATGGTAAGGATGGAGGGAGTGTGTGTTCGAAGAACTACTGCTGCAACTCTGGTTTGAGCTATTCCAGAGCTATACCATGCTGCTGCTGCTAGCAGAGTTGCACACAGAGTGATGAAATGGAGATCACTGCGAGTCAGGAAGACAATAAATTATAACTGTGTGGCTATGACAGCTCAGTAGGAGCACCTGTGGATGGAAAAAGGATTACATGCTTTTAAGCACTGTTGACATGAGATAATTTTTTATCACGTTAATGAAAGCTTAATCAAATGAGCACATAAAGCTTGGAGAGAAAAATATTTTTTACAGGAGATAAAACTGCACAAAAAATGTGTACTGTCAACAAATTTTATTTCAAATGCAGAGCTTTAAGATTGAAAATACGGTCTATGAGTGTGAAAATTTTTTTAGGAAGACTTTTGTGTGTAGACAAGCTTTTCAGTAAAGTGTTTATTAACACACGAAAAATAGCTTTCTGTTTTAAAATACACACAAATCAAATTAGAAGCAAAATGACCATGGTCAGTGGAGATTATATGTAGCTGTAAAAATTGCCTTCTACTTATAGAGTGGATCTTTCTGCATTAAAAGATTAAGCCCCCCTCTAATTTTAGAATATATGCATTTTAGGTCGACAACAGTCTCAGTTTTTCAGGTGGTTCAAAAGTTATACAATAAAAGATACGAATGGTAATACATGAATTCTAATATCATAGCACTGTGGCTATTTTGTAATGTTTAAATGATAATAATAACCCTTGAGAGAAGTATTTTATACTTTCTTTGCATACTGGAACTTTATGTGTAGATTTTTGTGGGTCAATCTCATTAATCCAAATAAGCTACTTGAAATACTTACAGGATAAACAAAACCCTTTCTAAAAACACAGAAAAATTCAGTATTTGGAACCCCCAGAAGCTGAAGAGTTAATGGTGGGGTTGCACTGGATTCAGTGTATTTGCAGATGTTGCTGCAACCAACTGCTGATTTTTCTCCCATCCTGTCAGGGAAGTCTGCCAGCCATGATTCATGGAATGATTTTTTTGCGCTGAGTAATCTGTGGTTTTTCTTTTTTCCTCTTCCCTCTCCCTTATTTTTATCCTGAACTAAAGCACTATTCATTTCAGCACATATTCAGCTAAAGGGAGGAGAAGCTTCCAAAGCATTAATATAAAACATTAAATACGCTGTGTTTTGAGTGGAGGAACTGTAACAAATGTTTAACTTGCAGTAATTTTACTTGGTCTTAGGTAGCCTAGTCCAGTGTGTAAAAACAGTTTCAGAACAGAATCAGCTTTTGGTTTTGCTAGTCATATGGTTTTACAGTTCTTCTAAGACTTCTGTACTAGTATTGCTAAAGAACATCCAACTTCTGTGCTGACACTATGCCTCCTTTCTCACAGATCGCTCAGAAAGAAATAAACCAGACTGCCGCTCTTCAGGGTAAGAACTGTATTTCTCTATTTATTCTCCGCTTTGCTTTTTTTAATTTTTTCTTATTTTTTACTTTTATTGGATGAACTAGGAAATTGGCCAGAAATATAAAAATGTCATTCTTTCTGCGTCTCTGTTTTGGTAACTGTAATGTAACACAAAAATAATTTTGTGTTAAAAATAATTGGTTTATATTCCTTATGGGCAAGGTTTTTTCCAAGAAATTAATAGAACTTGTTACATTGTAATTGTGCGCATTTAAACTCCAAATACTTGTTTATGCATCATGCTATGGGTTGTTTGGTAAAACTGCTTAAAACAAGAAGCCCCTTATGACTTTTACTACTTTGTTTCTATAGCAAGGAAAATAATTATTGGTTAAGTCAAAAATAGCAACACTTTATTATTTATTCCACTAACACTGATCCCATCATAACTAAGGTTTCACAAGAAGCAAATGAAAGTGTTTCAAACAAAACACAAGCACAGACACCAACGTGTTTATTTAGAATTTCCATCAGGACTTGTCATGAACTTCTAGGCTATCGATTTGCAAGGCCGTATTTTCCCTTAAGCTTCTGAATATTGTGTAGTTCTTCTTATCCTCTGGCTTTTAAATAATCTCTTTTTCTATTGCTTCATTTTCAAACTCTCTCTCTTTCAGTTTTCCACTTGGGAATAGGATTTTGTCCATGTCATGTGGTAGATAGTGGAATTTTAATGAACTAAAGTGATAGAGCAAACCAGTGAACACTGGCCCTCCCATTCCTTTATGAAAAGTCTTTCCAAAAAATGCCCCTGGTGTCCAGGCTTTAGGCATGACCTGACCTTTTAATTTGATTTTCACAGTCTACATTTTTTCCTTTTTGGCACATTTTTACAGTACAGTGGGCTAGCGTTTATAGCTGGAAGAACAGATTAGCATTTTCTTACAACACACTTGATGTGCTGTATCTGTTGTGTGAAGTGATGGGAGAGGATGTTTTTCCCTTCGCTTCCCCATCTGCCACAGCACTGTAGCTGATTCCAGCAGCACGTTTAAGTTGCAGGGGAGTATTGCATTTGTCTTTGAATACTTTTATCTGCTTAAAAGCTCAGTCACTGCATGTGCTGATTTCCTTTAATACTTAAAAATATGAAACTTTTTTCTTTTCTTAAAATAATGTGGTTATAGTCTTAATATTAGAACTTTTATTAAAGCATATCATATTACAGTAATGTCAAATCCAAATCATTATCGAAAGGAAATCTAATTTTATCAAAATGTTTAGTTTAAGGTTGAAACAGCTTCAATCTTCCCCTTTCTTCTCTCTAGTTGTTTTCACCTTTTTGCTCTGGAGTGTGTTCTGGAAGTTTGAATTTGGACCAAAAGCAAAGTAAAACTTTGGACTTTTTTCCATGGGATTGGAAAGTCAAATATGGACCAGCCTTGGCAATAAAACACTTCCCTAAGTTGCCTGAACTACAGTCTCCAAATTCTCATGTGGAAAGCACAGAATAATTAACGGTATAATGTAGATTGCTCATAATGTTGAGAGAAATGCAGCTTTCAGTAGGCTTTCATTCCTGTCAGTAGTGCATGTGCTTCCTGACCATATCTATGTATCTTCTACTCCCTTCTCCATCTCTGGCCATTGTGTCATGAGCTGCGAGGAAGAAAAGCCACCATTTAAAGGGTAGTGTTGTTTTGTGCACATCTCACTGCTGTTTCTAGACTGAACAGGAGCAGCCTACCTTACTTAAGTGATGTACTCTGCTAATTGATATTGCTACACTCGGTGGTTCATCTCATTGTAATTGGAAGCATTATTCTGTGGTGACAAATTGCTGGGCGAGATTCTTATCCCAAGTCTGGCCATATCATGCCCAGGAAAAGAGCTGCAGTTGCATCAAGGCCAGAGCCCCTTGATAGAAGACCTGAGGGAAAAATAAATCATGAAGTACGCAAGGCTGAAATTGAAGTGCTAAGCATACTTCTCTTGTAACGTGGGCAGCATTTCCGAGCTGTTTGAATTCTGCTGGGGACAGTTTTATACCATTTTATGGTAAGCTGCTGCACTTAGGTCGCTGTCCCTCTGGGAGCAGTTCATGACAAGGGAAGAAGAAAATACAGTGGTCCAGAGGCATCTTGGCTACTTATTCCTTAAACTACATGTTGAGGGATGTGTATCTTAAAAACACAAGACATTATCCCTCTCATAAGCTCAAGTGGAACAAAAATGACACTTCAGTTCTTGAACTTAGGGTCTAGAAACCAGAGTTTCTGCGCTAGAATTCCTGTGAAATACTGGAGGTTGACATGGGGAGACCAGATGACAAGATGGGGAATAAGCAGTGAGCCTTAAGAAAGATAGATAGCCTAAGATGAAATAGCAGATGTAGATGTTTCCAAGAGGGAGCCAGAGAAGTAGTTTATTGTTTCATGCAAAACTATGGTGAGATCTTGCCCAGAAGTGTGTCAAGTGCAAACACGGAACACTAGGATAAGGAGACGAAAAAAAAGCACAGATATCTACCACCAACTCTTCCTCATGCATTGTAAGGTTAGGTTTTGGTCTGGAACATAATCATCGTAATAAAAAGATCACATAACAGTATTTCTTATGATTTCAAGGATCTAAAGCTTGCCCTTTCCAACCTCCTGTTATATATTTCTTTGCCTGTGTATTTCTACATGTATTTCAAGCTTGTGCTTGTGTCTTTGCAGTATAAGGGATGAAGAATTTATATACACTGAGGCAGGATCAGTTTTAAAACATACCTTGGACATAGCTCCTTTGCAATGAAAGACATATTAAAAAACCTGTTCTAGGTAGAACAGTATATAAATGGTCATTAATATAGTTACTTTATTATAGGGTGGTGCCATTTAGAAGAATTTTTACAGCAGTATCAGGAAGTCTGACAAATGTTCTGGTTTGGTTATTAGCCTATCAAATGTTTAGCATGGGAGAAATGCTACAGAAAGAGGGAGTCTTCTGAGGGTGATACAGGGATCTAGCACAGCATGACGAAGACATCTGAAGAGTGGATGAACCAAACACCACAGATAATGATTTAAAGGGAGGGAAACAGATATTAAGTAACATTTACAAAATGTGCATTATTACATTATCTTTTGCCTCTTTTGATAATTAGCAACCGTCTGACACTCAGGAGAGTTTAGATAAAGCAAGGAGCAGCCGAACAGGCCCTGTGTGTCTATTTCATGTACTGCTCTGCACGGATTTTTTTGTTAAATATATCACATTAGTAAGATCAAAACAAATGTTTGCTAAATCCAAATAATACCTATTGCTATGTTAAATTTTTATCAAGAGACATTTAGTTTCATGACCTAGTAGCCATCCTTCAATTGTTACATTTTAGACAGTATTAAAATATGTCTCTACTGGAAACAGTGGTCTGTAATTATAATTCTTGATTTTACTGTCAGATCATGCTTGTACTGTTGTCTCTGATAGTTTCAGGTCATGCACTGTTGTAACACAGGTCAATTAGGTCAAAAGAAGTAGGTCTTTATTCCTCTAAATGTTTTCAAACTGAAAATTATATGATAGTAATAGAATAGAAGAGTTCAGGCATCTACATATTTGCAGATAATCGCTGAACATGAGTAAAGCTTGCAGAAGGAACTGGATTTATTTTTCTTCTTTTGGTTAAGAATTATGGATCAAAAAGTCCTGAAACACAGTCCTATAATTTGATAAACCTCGTTTTAGTTGCCTTGACCTTGGAGATGAGAGGAGATAGGTAGCTAAGAATTGCAGCAACTTATTGAAAGATTTAGTAGGGTATCAATCACTTGAAGTCAAATAAGAAATTTTTATTTTTATAATATCAGTGTCTACTGTGAAAAATGGGGAGGGCGATAAAAATAATTCATTTGTTTCTAGAAACAGATCCTAGGTTTTACTGTGTATAGTCTGCCTGCTGACTATAATGTGCTTAAGTTCTTTTACAGCTGGTTGCCTTCATTTAATTGCAGTAAATTGAGCTTTTTTTTATTTAAAATGCATCAAGTCTACAATACAAATAGACAGAAGTCGTCTTTTGTTCCTTTATAAACAAGCACTTCTAGTGGCTGATCAAAGGGGCTACTGATCCCTTTAGTGAAGCTCTGTGGTAAATCAAGTGATCATTTTTATGAATGGTATTTTGTATCCAACTTTGGTTTTAGTTGTTTGGTTTTTTTTTCATGCACCAGAATTCCATTAGTGAAAGCTTCTCTGCATTTTTATTTCCTCTGCTCTATAATGTTGATTTTCTGAAATTGTGTTTAAGAAATACTATAGTAACGGTCTGACTATATCTTGAGAATGTGTTTTCCCAGATCATCTGGGAAGCCTAAAAAGACACCCTTTAATGAAGATCTTGAGTGTTTAACAGAGCATGAAGGGAATCTTAAGGCACTGGCTTGAGAATATGGTGGAACTGTCCCCACTTTATAATTAAAATAAGGTGGTTTTACAAATCAGTGTGCTTTTGAGGTCTTGAGAAAACAGACAGTAATAGGTTTTTCTATGTTGTAACCATTAGTCAGTCATTTAATTGTTTCACAGGATCATAGAATATCCTGAGTTGCAAAGTACAAGGATCATTGAAATCCAGCTCTGGGCCCTGCACAGAATCATCCCCAAGAGTCACACCATGCCTGAGAGCATTGTCCGAATGATTCTTGAACTCTGTCAGGCTGGTGCTGTGACCACTTCCTTGGGCCTGTTCCAGTGCCCAACCACCCTCTGGATGAAGAACCTTTTCCTAATACCCAACCTAAACCTCCCTGTCACAATTTCAGGCCATTCCCTCAGGTCCTGTCACTGCTCACCACAGAGAAGAGATCAGATTCCCCTCATGAGGAAGTTGTAACTGTGATGAGGTTTCCCCTCAGTTTCCTCTTCTCCAGGCTGAACAGACCAAGTGACCTCAACCATTCCTCACACAGCTTCTTCTCAAGGCCCTTTGCCATCCTTATTGCTCTCCTCTGGACACTCCAACAGCTCAATGTC